TTCCTATTTAGACAGTTGATCTGCTGGCTTTTAATCTAATATATAACTGCTGTATCCTTTTTTTTTCATCCTGGCTTCATTCATCGATCTGACATCAGTCTCTCAAGTCTCTCCACCCAAAAATAATTTGGCTTGTCCGGCCGGATCGTGTCTGTCGTGCATCAGAAAAATAAAATAAACCTCTCCTTGTGTGACCAAAGAGCCACCCGGGGTCTTAACGATTCCTCATATCAGCAGGTCATGCCACCTATCCGGGGACTCGTGTGGGAGCCGTATGCCGGTTGCATAAGCGTGGATGTTTTCTTTTTCTGGTTAAGAAAACTCCTATACCGGCACTGGACTAAAGGCTTAATGGGTCTCACATCTTTCTCATCACCGGGCCTAATAAGAATCAGGACGGGGGCCCAAAATACCTCCGCCAGCCGGCCTGAGGAGCAGCAAAACAATCCCCACACTCATCAGCCCTTTAGAGCTCTGAGATGTGTGCATAAAGTCCTCACTTTGCGGCTATTTCTGGAGGTGCAAAGACACCCGAGCAACGCTTTGTGAATCTGTTTGTTCGGTGAATCCACCGGGACGGAGCCCAGAGGTGAAGGTGGGAAACACCCAATCAGAGGAATGGGGCTAAATGCAAATGAAGAGACAAGCTCAGTGCCTGAGGCTGCCACACACACACACACACACACACACACACCTGGAGCTCTCACTTGTTACTGGAATGCAGTTTAAGAGGCCAAAACCCTCTGAGGCCTTGTGCTCACCTGAGCAGGTGATCCCAAAAAGGGGCACGCCTCTGAAAACACTCCAGAACACAAGCTAAGCTGCTTTTTTTTTTTACTTCTGACGACCAAATACAGTCACTAAAACTCCCAAAAAAAGTAGGATGCTCCACTGCCGGCGACCCTTTGAGGCCAGTCCCAGTAAATCAGGTTCTTATTGGCTTCAAATGAGGCCACAAAGTGAGAAATCTGCTGTAGAATGAAGCACAACAAGCTCCACAGCATCAGGCTAGCTTCATTATCAATGAACCGATTAATGGACTTCATTGAGTTGGCGCATGCGCACTGCTGTTTCCCCCCCACCTTTCCTCCTCCAATCTGCAGGTAAAACGGAAAACGGGTCACAGAAACCGATCTGCCCGTGGGTCCTATCCTCACTTTGGGCTTTTTTTGCTTTGGCCTGGACCCCCAATTCTCCGCATTTAGGACACGTCACGTGCCTGTGTTTACCGGGCCAGACTGTGGGGGTCCGCTGAAGTCACAAAAACTGGGACCCCGTGGGTTCTGTGGATAACCAGAAAGCAAACCGTGCTGATCTGGGTTGGGGGGGGGGGGCACCAGCTGGGGTTTGTTGTCAAGAATAGTGCACTTGTAAACAAATTGGCCACATGGCAGGAAGACAGGGCCTCTTTTGTGGGGTCCCCTGGCAGCTTTCGCATCTATATTTTTAAAGATTGTTCATTCGTACATTCGGATCTATATTTTTAAAAATTGTATTTTTCAGTTTTATCATGTCTATCCTATATTTTTATTTCTTGCTTCTCGTAGAAGTATTGTGTTGTGCACCAAACACCAAGGCAAACAAATTCCTTGTAAGCCTAAAAAACCTATTTGGCAATTAACCTTATTCTGATTCTGATACTGATTCTCATTTAAACCGGCTTTATCTTGCGGTTTACCTGCGCGGGCGGAGTGCAGCCTGACGGTTCCGTCCCTCCGGATGCGCACGTCCCCGGGGCCCTCGATCCTCCCGGGGAACCGGGAGGGGGACCGGGAGGAGGACCGGGAGGACCGGGACCCTCTCCCCCGGTGCCTGCGGGCCAGAGCCCGGCAGCACTGGTAGCACACGGCCCACGCCTGCTCCTCGTTTATCGGTTGGCTGTAAAGAGCCAGGATCTGCTCCAGGGACACGTCCTCGGCTCCAGAACCGCATTCCGCGTCCACGTCCGCGTCCACGTCCGCGTCCACGTCGGCGAAATCCCGCACGGGGCTCCGCGAAGTCTGCATCCCGTCGTCGGTCCCCGGTCGCTTGGCCATAATCAGAGCATCGCGGAGTCACAACATAAGAGGGAAAGCGTCCGTATAAGTGCGTAAGTGCGTGCGTATGTGCGTGAGTGCGTGCGTAAGAGCGTGCGTGCGCGTGTGGCGGAGAACCGGCCGCGCGCGCGGTGGCTCTGCGCGGACTGGAGATCCAGACCAGATCCCGACGGCTCAGATAGAGCCGCAGCCCGAAGGCCGCCCCCGGGTCCCAGCGCCCGCCCTGTTCCCCGCACCGGAAACACGCTCAGAGCTTCCGGTGTAAAATCAGCCCTTCAGAGTAAAGGTTTGAGGAAATAGACGGTTTGTTACTGTAAAATGCGTAGATTACAAATGAGAATTTGTGTGATTCGATTTAAATTAACCCTTTAAAAGCCTGATCCAAAAATAAAATAAAACAGAAAATTACTTATTTTTTTGTTTGAATTCCTTATTTGCCCCTTTAACAAAATATGTTTGAGGAAATAGACGGTTTGTTACTGTAAAATGCGTAGATTACAAATGAGAATTTGTGTGATTCGATTTAAATTAACCCTTTAAAAGCCTGATCCAAGAATAAAATAAAACAGAAAATTACTTTTTTTTGTTTGAATTCCTTATTTGCCATTTTAACAAATTATGTATACATTTTTAATATTAATAATAATTAATAATTATTAATATGCGATAAGTCAAGATTATTTTCTGTGTAGTCTTCTGCGCCCTGTTATCAGGTGTATCTGATTGTGTACAATAGGATTTTGAGCAAAGTTTTTACCATTAAATTATGCAAAAGGAGTCAGACGCAAAACATTTCAGAAACCATATGCATCAAATATGATACATTTGGCATTACAGGGTTAAATTGAAGCGGTGGACTGTTTTATGGCACCAGTAAATGTCAAAAGGTGGAATATAAGGGGGAAAAATGTATATATGCATCCATTTTCTGTACCGCTTTGTCGTGAAAACTAAAAACCAGGTGCCACCTGAAAACAAAAAACAACACAACTGTACAGGTTTTTCTCACAGCTTTTAAATATTAATTTCCCTGCAAAGCAATCTTTCCCTTAATAGTTGCCGTCAGAGTAAACAGTCAAACAGGAAGGACTGTCTCCTGGTATCCCAATGAGCTTGTATTTTCAAGGAATTAAAGGAATTTGTGTATTTTTCACTTAACTCTGACCGTGATGAGTAGTTGATGTTAAAAAAAATCTTGTGGATGGAGAAAAAGTGAGTCACTCCCTGTAATTCTCATCCACTATTTACGGTATGCTTTTTTTTCCAACTTCAGCTCATTTCTTCGCTGACTGTAGCAGATTCACAATCGGATTAACATGAACTGTGACTTTAATGAGAAAAACAGCTCGTTTTCCTTTCACGAAGACGGTTTAATAAATAAACAGTTTTATCACCTTTTCGGGGATTCTCATTATTCTCAATGTTTTTCACTTTTGCAGTTCTCCATTGGTTTTAACAGAAACATGGTGAGTAATCGTATTAGGCATGTTTTCTGTTGTATTCAACAACTGTGTGGGCCACATGCACATTTAAACCCTTGGAAGATGCTGTGGTCTTTGCTCTTTTCTTGTGAAAAATAACTTCACACACAACACACTCGCTGAGATTCACAACTTAAGAAGCCAGCAACAGCTTTAATGAAAGAGAAAAACAAGGTAGATCTTGTGCCTTAAAAAGGTGGTTTTCCACCTCTTCTGTGGTCCTAAAATGTTCCCCGTTATAGTCTGAGTTCACTATTAAACATTTCTGACCACATACAAGCATCTCCGTGACCAGCAGATGTCCTCCCTCACACTTAAGCCAAGCTGAAACGTATCTCCTCCAAAATAAGTTAAATTGGTTAAACCGTTGGTGGACATCGCCCTCTGCTGATCACTGTTTGCTTTCCTGTACTGCCTCCTGAGGTATTGAACGATTTGTTGTGGATAAGTCAGATTTCTTATGTTACATGGCTTGTTCTTAATCACGTCAAAGCAGAGAGTTCTTATTACAAATGACAACTTAATATCAGAGTAATTTATACACACAGATCAGTATAATAACACAGTTACAATAGAACGTGGAAAAGAATAAACACTCAATAATTAAGCTGACCTGTTTGAACACATCCAGAACAGATTGGAAACACAAATACATTTCAAATCAACAAAAATTTTTAGGCACATGCGGGGTTAGTTTTGTTTAAAAATATATTCGTATATATCTTGCAAAGGTTGGAGCGTACAGTCTTTAGCCCTCAAGCTTCAAACATCCGAATTTCAGCTTCCGAAAAGCACTTCAGGTTGTTTTTTTTCTTAACGGAACTCACTCACAGAACCGTGAAGCGGTTCCCACACCGACAATAAAAAGGAGTATACTAGCACAAAGAACTAAAGCAGGCCCCACATGGAACACGTTTAATGTGCAGATTGTGATTAGCATGTGCACACGGGGCTACCTCTGCTTCTCAGATTTTTTTCTCTTTGAGTCCTCTCAACACAGTGACACATTCCCTGTCTGGTACCACAAGCATGGGAGAAAAAGCATGGTGTGAACACTTAACCGCTCTCTTCCTCACGCATGCAATGGCACAACAAAAAACGCAGCGTCCGGAGGTCTTTGGATGGAGGCGGAAGCGCGTGCTCGCGTTGCCAGTCGTTGCCATCGGCAACCAGGAATCCTGCAAAAAGTCATGAGCAGAAATTGTCCGCGTGGAACCGTCCTCCCCCGGTGGACTTTAGCTCGTCTTCCTCCTCGCAGCGTCTCGGCCGGTTTCATCTCTCATCGCACGCGTTTCCAGACTCGGGATCCCCGTTACCGTGGATACCCACGGCCTGGCCGTCCTTCGCCAGACCGTTGGCCTCCTTCGACGCCCTCCTTTTGGATTCACGGGCGCTTTGCTGTGAGAATATTTTGAAATCCGTTTAAGGAGACATATTATACCCTGTTTCGACAAGTTAACCTAGTTCCCTGGTGTTCCTAATGTAATGTCTGTGACAAGCTTTGGTCAACAGGCGTCCCCAGAGCCGAAACCACGCAGACACACGGGGCCAAACGCACCGGATTTCATTTCCAAAACACCTCAATAAGTCAGTGTCAAAGAGGACCACAAGGAGGAATTCATAGTCCCAGGAACTGGTGCCAAACTTTAAAAAAATCTTATTATACTCAGCAAAAAAATACAAATTATCAGGAAAACTAAAGAAAGTCTCAGTGGAGTTAAAGGAGACATATTATCCCCTATTTCAACAAGTTAAACTAGTTCC